CAATTTCAACGTGTCTTCACAGAGTTCTTTCTCGTGGGCTATTGTTGGGACGACGCCAAGCTTCTCTTTGACCAAGGCTTCGCTCTTCCTTCCATCGACTACTTCAAATATTCCTCACAGTGACCCACCTCTATAATATTGCACCTTTCTTAGAAGAGCTTCAACTATAGTTGTTTAATATCGGCCACATCATCAACAGCTGCGACATTCTTCTTCCATTTGATTATCCACACAAAGCCCCTGGAATTACCGAATCTCTGCAAGCTCGTTTAGCACCTTCAACCTCCTTCCTATTTTGCATCACCACCAGAGTTTTTTTGTAGGACGCCAGTCTCGTACGATCTTCAAATCACGTCATTTGAATCTACAAATCCCTTCTACGTCTTCGACTTATTGATCCCCAACCTTTAGCTATATTGGCCATCTCTCTCCACTTTACACCCACAGACGTTTTATATATTGCAATAAATATAATTTGCATTCGAGGCTTATCTCCGTTGATGATATTCACAGAAAGGCCTCTTTCCATTAGCAACAGTTGTCGTTTATCGATTCCTAGAACTTTATCTCCCCAGTAGGGAGTAAATAAGATATCAATCGTACAACAAGCTTCATTACCCCATATACTTCTCATAGATTTTTATTTCAAACTTCCTGCAATTGCCAACTGGAGAGTCTTGTCCATTTTCTCAATATTTCTTCGTTCTAAAGGAGATTTGTCAGTTTTCTATAGGTTTCTTAAGACATCCACTTCTTTTCTACGATTCTGATGTTTAAGACGCCATACTAACAGATTTTATAGATCTCCGAAGATCATAAAGCCTTTTAAAAAAGTAAGTTCATTTCCCCCAGTCAAGACCCCGATATCTCCCCCTCCACGAGATGTCACTTTCCATCCTCTTCCCATGTTCTCAAGCCAAGTCGAGGACTAATTCATCCCTTTTCTGCCCTTTCTCATATCAATACTAACATATTCAGAGGAAGAAAATGGAGGCCATTAACGAGGAGACGGCCGGTTTCCGCCAGGCAACCCAAAGTTACCTGGTGGAAAACCGCGCCGAGATGGAGTCGTTAATCCACGAAAGCACCGACCGGCTCATGGAGCAAACGCGGGTTCCGGCCGAAGAGGCCCATAGCTGGCAGACGAGGACCGTCGAGCTGCAAACAGAGTTCATGGTTAGTTATTCTTCTAATTTCACTTCGCGTTGAGATTTTTGTTACTTGAGTTGATGTAGAACGTGGAAATTTTACATTTGGCAGTTTGCTCTAATAAATCCTTTCAACGTTGAATAGAAGCATCAAGACCTCTGATGAGCACATGCTGACCTTGACAGGAACTCTTGAAACAATATCTGGAAGCGGGAGGCACTGTCCTCGCCGCACCAATATACCGCGCAGACGCCCGTAAGCTCACACACTCTTTGTTAGAAAGTGGAAGCTTCATGCTAATGATGTCTAGTAAGGGTCGGCGGACGACCGGCAATACGCCCTTCGAGGGTTCATGTTTTCACGGAGTTCAAGAAGAGATATACACCTGGCAGCGTGCCACTTCATCTCCAGCATCTGCTGGACCATAGATCCAATGGACTATGGATCCAAGCTTTGGCTGTCCAGAACCAAGATGGGGACATGATCCAATGTGAGTAGCACCTTGATTTCCGCTTTCACACGAAGCGACATTGCTATCAGAAGTACAATTAACTGACTCAATCGTTTAGTGAAAAGAATAACCGACGAATCAACACCCCAAGGGGAAGACTTAACTGTCTGGAAGTGGTTGTTCTGTGAGCTTGGAGAAGGGGAGGACTTGAACACCTTGGTGACGGAAAAGGAGAGATGGGGATGGGGTGGAAAGTTTACGTGGGGAACTCCGCTGGAGAGGGGAGAGCAGTGGGGGCATGGACAATTACTTGGTGGGGATGAGGAGAATATTGTGGTGTTGACGTAGGGCCTCTGATACAGTATGAGCATGGGGGCTGATCCCAACGTGGATCAGCAGCTGTCAAGACACGGGTCGCACCGTGACACTCGCGCCCTGGCACTTTTAGAGCACTCTACTGTTGATGATGGTCAGGGATGAATGGTGTGGTGGATATGGGCTTACGATTTACGAAGAGACGAGACGACGACACGATCATCTTTTTTCTCAATCCGTTCTGTTTATAGACCGTTGCATTTACAGTGGCATCAGCGGCGTTGGATTTCATCTCGTGTGGTTTCTAATAGTTGCGGAGAAATTTGTCTGGCATGGCGTTGTTTAAAGGGGGCGTTGGGTTTATACCATCGTTGCATTTGCGTTCGCGTTGCGCGCTGGATTTCATTATAAAAAGTGTTTTACTATCATTGATACCCTTAAATCAATTTGGCTTGCCATTTGTTCTCATACATGGCCTATTCTTGCTGTCTCTGTGATCATATACATCATATCCTGTTATCAAATGTTTGATGGCTGCAAGGGCTGAGCACATCTAGGATTTATCGACTTATGAACTTTGTATAGTATACTATTGATCAATGACCAAAAGCAACACACCTAAAAACCATTTAATCCATTTAGTAGATTCAGTTGACTTGTAAAGTCCTTTGATTTAGGATCTTAAACAAAATCTAGAGATGGGTCGTTCAAAATTTATAACTTATTCAAAGGACAGTAGTTCTCCATTTTCACCCAAGGAACCAAGCACTCAACTCCAACCAGAGCGGCATCTCCCTAACATCAATGATAACAGCAACAGCCTTTAGCAAATCTCGCACATCCGAAAGAGCTCGAACTAACCAACACTAGAGGCCCCGCGGAGCAATCTATCATTCTCAAAGTTAGCATTAGTGCGGCAAGTAATGGAAAGAGGTCAGTGAAGGTCAATATTGTTGCCAACATTAACTCATCTATCATCTGCTGTAAAAACAGCTTATAAATGATATTCTTAGAGCCTTTGATCACAAGAGCCAATGATGTCTCAATCTGTCCAATTAATGATACTTTGAGTAGGAGAAGTTCCAACTACCAAGCCTTGCCGAGCAAAAGCGACGGGCTGCTCGCTTTCTTTACTCTACCCACCGAATTCCCCGATAATGTGTTTCTGTTTGAGTATTGCACTCTTTTGATATGGCTTAGCTAGACTCGATGCCTGGAGAGCTCGGATCCTAGTGTGGTGAAGGGAGCCTGCTCAACTTTAGTCTGAAATTTTTTTCGGACCGGGAATAATCATCGGCGACTTGGGGGTGGAAAGAAAGGTACACTACTGGAGTATATACAGGCTTCAAGACCTCATAGCTTCGAGCCAATGAAGAAAATGGATCGATAAGGAATTATGAAGAGCACCAGAAATGCTCTGTTCAACGCTGTCTTAATAGAGATGCTCGAACTAATAGCGGTTTAAGTACTCGACTAAAAAGAGATACTCTGCTTTCGTTTCCTTATCAATTTGGACGACGTAAGTACCAGGTTTCGCCTCACAGCCATTCATTTTCAAGTCCTCCATTCAAACCAAGCGCGCCCAAACAAATCTTCGTAGGCTTCCTGCTCATTGACTCCGAAGGCTCGTATCTTCAGGCGTATCTGAAGAGGACTACCGAGGAACAATGGACTTGATGAATCAGAAGTGTGGAAGCAATTGCACGAGGCCATTGCTGTAGTAGCAACGCTCGTAGAGAGTAGCTAGCGCTGTGTTAAATAGAAAAGAACATCCGCAGGGAGGATAAGAGGAGCTAAGTTAAGGGCAGACTCTAGATATGTCTTTCTGCGAACTAACTTCATCTCAAATAACAGTTCATGGAATAAATTGGTAGATGTTGGTATGGATGGAAGAGACGGAATGGTTCGGAGATGATCTTTTAGTGGCAAGTGTATCGTTTGAATTTATTCATCCAAATTTGGCAACTCCGACCGAATTCTTTTGGAAAACAGCGGCTAACGATGACTGCTGTCATTTTGTTCTGATCATTTCCGACAGCAGATCCAAAAGATTCTTCCAATTTTACTTCAAAAATCTAATTAAAAAATCATCACAATCATCCAATCCGCTCTAGATCATGAAGATGCTTTCTGAAATCTTGTTGACTCCAGACTTGGATATGCGCCATAAATCTTCTTCGTAGAAATCACTGGCAAGATTTTGATTCTGCTGCCGAAGATTTTCAATTCTTTGAAACCTGCTGGTACAAGGTTTTATCTGTATATAGAAGCCAAAAAGCAGGCTCTGATGTATACATAATGCCATATTACGTCGAGGATCGCTACTGTCAGAATGAGACTCCAAAACAAAATGACGATGCTATTGAAAGTCTACATCCACCTCCCAGGGTTTCGCCAGATAGATTTTAAAGTATGTTTTCCCCTTTCAGGGACCACCTTAAATCCAAAGGAAATTATCGGAATTGGGTATCCAGCTCTGCTTGAAGATCTGGATTTTCTTGAATTTTTGGACCCGTTTCCAAGTACTGGGAACTGGGTAATCATTGCCACTGCAAACTTTTTCTCTGTCGTCTTGGGGATGCGTTAAAAATGTATTGTAACATTTATCCCGATTGTCTTTGGTTTTTGAAACACTGCTAGCTAAACTTTAAAAGAGTCAGTCTCTACCCCAGATAAATATAGTATATTTTATAGCACTTTATGTGGATTTTTCAACCCAAAATAATTTTCATATTTTTAAATCTTTTAAATCTTTTAAATCTTTTAAATCTTTTAAATCTTTTAAATCTTTTAAATCTTTTAAATCTTTTAAATCTTTTAAATCTTTTAAATCTTTTAAATCTTTTAAATCTTTTAAATCTTTTAAATCTTTTAAATCTTTTAAATCTTTTAAATCTTTTAAATCTTTTAAATCTTTTAAATCTTTTAAATCTTTTAAATCTTTTAAAGGTAAAATATTTGAGATTGAAAAATTCATATCAAGTACTATAATGTCTAAAAAGTCGCTTGGGATACTTCTAATCGGAGCCTGAGGTAGTGAAATATTTATTATATTTATTATGCTGCCCACGATCTAATCCCCAGCTTACTCGCTAACCTCATTAGTTTCTATCCTAGGCATAACGCAAGGACGACTACAAACAGACGCAGAAGGTCTAGCGCTAACTTGTAAAATTGGTCCCAGTGTACCATCCGACTTATTTCGGTCTCTATGCGCCAGCAACTGAATGAACATATCTTCAGAAATCGCATGGTTGACTTGGAGGCCATTTCCAGCAGCTTCGTTGTCTCTGATTTCCAGCTGAGATACCTCTCGCCACCCCTTTTCTCCAATGGGTCCATTGATCTGTAGAGCTTGATCTCTGCTCACATTTTTCAAGACCACCCGACTAGAAACCCGTCCCGCATCTTTCGCATCTCCATCTGTTCTGAGTGAGAGCTCGTCACTCTTGATATGTACAAGTCCATCTTCTGGTATCTGTTAGCGAAGTCTCGCAAGAGGTGGACTAGCATACTTTCGGGGCGATGGTTCTTAACCACATCTGCAATCTGAAGCCCTCCATCGTCTCCAAATACCTTCCGAAGTAGCCCGTCCACTCGATTCAAAATATCCATATTTATCGCAACTTTATCACCTACGAACTGCGTCACTCCCACGTGAGCAACATGTAAACCCAGACCCAAGTTTGACTTTGCGTGCTCAAGCCGCTCCATCAGCTTTGCGAGCGTCTCCTGCTCTTTGGTCCCCTGTAGGAATTGATGGGCAAAACGCCGTGCTTGGCTCTTGTCCCCCGATACCATTAATTCTAGGTTACCGATCAGCTCCACGGCGATCTTGCGAATGTTCTCAATTTCGGAGAGAACGGCCGCAGTGCGCAAATTAGCTTCATGCTTCACTAGCTCGAGGATGGTCAGAATTCCTTGGATCTCAACGACATGAGCCCCGAGCACTTGTGAGGAGTTTTTCTGGTCGTTGTAGGTTTTTCGCAGTCGGCTGAGAAGACTAATGGTGAATTCTAGTAAGCCCGATACGGCAGATATCGCTCCTATGATTTCTAATCCGGCCTGAATTTCGCTTAGTATATCTACTTTGCGTGTTTTCGAGGGGGTAATTACCATACTATGAGGCTTTGAAGTGAATGATGGCGTAAGATTCGTAGTCACAAGTTTAGTCCATCAATAGAGGGAATTGGATACTCGGAATTGTTGTAATATTCTGAGATTTCCAAATATATAATCTGGTTCTCGAGTTCTTCTAATTAGATGTGATTTGGATACCACAACCAAAACTTCAAAATATATACCTCTTCTTAACAAAACCCGCAACCATCCGAGTACGAGTATCCAATCCCACCAACCAACACCATTTAAATTTACCCATCCCTCATTTCCATCCATCCAAACAGCCTATCCTATCCAATCCAGAAAACCAACATCCATCTCCACAACCATCTCCACAACCAAATCAACACCCACCCAACACACCCACCCAACACACCCAATCTCTCCTCAGCGATGCGCTGTAATATTCCTCAATTGATCCGAATCCATTGGAATCCATTGGATATCAACACACCTTTCCATTCGCAGGGATAAATGGTGTGGCAGATCCCTTTCCCCACCCCACCTGACGATTTATTGGTTGGTTCATGTACTCCGTGTGTGCGAGTGCACATTGATGAGACAGGACAGGCGCTTAGGTGGATGCGATTGTGTGGAGTACTTAAGCGATGTGGGGAATTTGAATCGATCGATTGTGTTATCTAGTATAAGAGTTTTTTTGTGTATTTGAATCTTTGCTGATAGATAGTATTGGTAATTCGGAGAGTGGAATTCACAGGTTCTCTCGGTGCGAATTCCAAGTATTCAATAGATGTTGAGATTAATTCATGTGTCGCAAGTGGAAACACAATGGCAGGAAGTGCGAATATTCATTGACCAACCGTACCGGCTCGGGGAAAATACTTATACTTTCTCCTAACTAGATTACCTGAAGACATAAGAATTGTAAAAGTATACATGCACAAACTCAAGCATAAAGTAAGTTTCAATATAACAAATATATTATTATCCTCATGAATTTTCTCTTCCTCTTCTTCCCTAACTACCTCTCGTACTCCGCGTTCCTCATCTTCATCCACCGTCTCTGTTCCTCTCGCAACATCCACAAAGCACCAGCTAGTATAGACAAGCAAAGCCAAATTATTAATACACATAAATATACACAGCGACTCTCCCTTGCCTTCTTTCCCCACTAAAAAGCGAACCCGAGCTAATCCAAGTCAAGACATTTCAAATCTGTTCCCTGATTCTCAAGTGACCATCACAAGCGAACCCCTATTTCCTCTTCTCTTTTCGGCCTTTCTCTCTGATCCACCTCTTTTCTTATCTTCCTCTCCCATTTCAGACAAGCAAAAAACAAAATCCAAGCCAGTAAGCAAGAAAGCGCAAAAGCAAACTCAACAACAGCGAACGGGGTATAACCACAACCAGCCAACCAACCAACCAACAACGCGCCCAATCAAATTCAATAAGCAATTTGGGCCAACTAAAAGCAAAACCAATGCCAATTAAATAGCAAAGTAGTAACAAGAAGCGCACTACTCATCAAAGTGCCAACAGATTAAAACGTCCTACATCCTCACCCCAAAAGCTTGATAAACGCCATTCTTTCCTTTTCCTGCCATACTCGCCATATAATCATTCCTCCCATCTGTCATCCGTCAAGAGAACAAATTATCGGAAGTTTTTTGAGGGCAGCGTCATGCGTATCGTATATACATAATCGTCGTAATGTATCTTAATTGTTTTTTCATGCAATAAAAATTGCTTCAGTTTCATCCAGTGATTGTGGTATCAACTTCTGCCTCCTCATCTTCATTTTTTCCCTCGGCGACGGCTTGATGTGCCGCTCTTTCATGATAGATTCTTTGCCTGCCAATTTCGGCTGCATGTAAACTATCAATATATGTTGTGAACTTTACGATTTCACGAAGCAAATATGAAGATTTCTTTTCCCAATTCGCCATTGCTTTTTGTGCGTTAGGATGACGCGGTGAATACTGTACTAGGTTAGTGAAAGTGAACCACGAAGAAGAATTGTAATACTTACAGCTAGAAGCATTGGATTTCTCAACATATTATGTTTCTGCAATTCTTCCTCAATACTCTGCACATAAGCAGTCAGTGTTTTCAACTGATCCGGCTCCATCAAGTTACTAGCTCTCATGCTCTGTATTGGAGGACTCCAATCATTTATAGCAATTCTATCACCTGGCAATCTTGATCTAACCCCTCCTACATAGCCGTGATCCAAGCTCGATCTTAGAGAGCTCTGCATGCTGGGCCTAGCACCAGAAGTTGATGGTCTGGTATTCTGTTCATTGATCGCAGTGACCAAGGCGTTGTTGACAATTTCATCAGACCAGCCGTATTCGATATTACTGATACCACCTACGAGAGGATGGTTTGATAACCGAGCACTCCAATAATTGGCTGTTGTGACAAATTCTTTGACGATATCTGCTGTACCTACTTGAAAGAGATGTACTGCTCCAGTGGGCAAGGAAAGCGCCCAGACATGAGGGCGAGCTTTGGAGTAGCCTGGAGAAGGAAGGGCACTAGCGATAGTTTGCCGGAGGAGGAATGAACCAAGATTCTCGGCATTCTCTTGCCAATTTCCACCACCAACAACTCCGCCACTAGTTTTAGGCTTGCGGACATTCTTTGTGGAGAAAGAGAACAAGCTCATGTAGCCCTTTTCGATAACAGCAAATGTTTCAATCCAGTTACGGTCCTTCGCTTTCTTGTCGAGAGCTTCCAGATGATGCTTGTGCTTGACCATACCTTCCTTGGCCCATGGTGCACCAGCCAGTTCTAAAGATTCATCATCGAGTAGGGGGGCAACACGAAGTTCTTCATGATCACTGCCCCTACTTCCTGAGCTATGGACCGTCTCTTCACGGATAATTGCTTGGCTGAGAGCATTGGCGAATCCAATAGATTGTTGATAATCGCCTTGGAATGCCGAACCAAGAGAGTCCACGGACATCGAGGTATGTTTTCCAAGAGAATACTTGCTCCAGGTACTAGACGACACCGAAGGACTCCACATAGATGATTGATCATCCAGACTAGTTCGACTAGATCCCATTCCTGAGTTAGGATATAAACGAGGTCTCGATCTAGTCTTATTGCTCCACTTTCCATTTGTGCGTACAGTCTCTGCTGTTCTTCCACGAAGATAACTAGGTGATTCTGAGGGAGCTTTACTCAGAACACTAGGAGAACGGCGCAACATACCATTGGTGAATACTGAAAGAGTGCTGGATGATGAAGCCGGCATTTGTAACCTATCGACGGCGCCAAACAATGGAAGCCGATCATTCCGGATAGAATTGTAAAAATCCTTGAGAACAATCTCAACCTGTACTTCCCACGTACGTAATGTTCCGCGGAAAGGTGCCTTGACCAAGGGGCCACAATCATCCATGGGAGTATCATAATCTAAAGGTGTAGGAGCACTTGGATTATCAGGATCTGGACGTGGCGCAGGCTTGAATGAAGACCTCCAAGAAGGTTTTTCAAAAGCTTCAATTGATATAGCGTCGGAGTTTTCGTCATTGACATGAGGGTCATCAAAAGCAGAACTTTTTCCAGGGAGCACTGTAGGCCTACTAGGCTCAAATTCATGCGCAGACTCTGCTACACTTCGACGGATCGTAGGCATTGTATTCTTAATGAATTGACTACGAGTCATCTTTTGTTCAATATCGGCAAGATGCAAATCCGTGTTGAGCAGAAGAACCGAGTAACAAATTGTATGTACGACATCTAATAATATTAGCTTGATACACTTTAGATAAACTCGCAAACCTACCAGTAGCTTTGAATCCATGGTTGGGATTGCTCTGACACCATCTCTTCGAGAACGCGTCCAAGATTCTGTCAACTTGTTGACTTTCACCCTTGAGCACTAATCTGCCACACACTACACGCATCGAGGCAAGAATATTAAGATTCGCAAAGTCATAAAGGCTCATGTAAGCTGTTAGCGTCCTTGCTCGAACAACTCCCTCATCTCCCATCCATGCCGTCGCCTTTTCTTTTTGAATGAAATCCTCATTGCCATCGTAAATTTTCTGTGCTCTAATTAGGTCTTCCTCCGTAGGTTGTGCGTCGTCAACTCCTTCTGATTCAGAGTCATCAAATGGCTCAACATATTCTCTATCGGACATAGTAGGTGGACTGGAAGGGGGACCTTCTTCTTGTCCCTCAACTTGCAACAGTGGTAGACTGACAGCCGATTTGTATATGGTATCTGTAGATCCTGTAGCTGCAATCGAGTTTGCGAATTTAGGTTTTAAGGTATTTGTACCTGGCAGATCATCTTCAGATGATCCAGGTTCCAACCAAACACGATCTTTCTCTGGAAACTCCGATTTAGAAGGAGAAAGAACGATCCAATCTTCTTCTTTGGCAGGACCTGCTGGTAGTTCCTGACTGTCATTAGAACCCACCTTGCTTAGAGGTGAATCCAAAGGAGACTCTGCTGCCTTGGGCTCTGATTTCGGTAAAACTTTGGAGGGCGGTGGAGAACGTTTGGAATGTATTCTTTCGTATTCCGCAACAAGAGCGATATCTCTCGCCACCGAAGGAGAGCGACCAGGAGATGTCGTACTGGGTAACGGTGTATTACCAGGCACATCTTCCGTGATCTCCAACTTAAACTTCGCGTCACGATCATTCTCAGTAGAACCTTGGAAAAATGTTTCACGTTCCTCTCTGGCCTGCCCATCGAATCCACCAGGTAATGCTAAGTTGGTACTTGCCGATCTACGTGGTTGTTTGATGGACGAATAAGATGGCTTGCGACTGTCTCCGGCATGCGATGACGCTGGTTTCGAAGGAGGTATTTGTCTGATGGTAGCATTTGGGTCTGGATCGTAGTCTGAAGAAAAGCCTCTTACATGGCGTCTATTTTCAACATCATCGGAAATATCATTAACTTGCCGATCGAGACTAGCCGTTGGTGCATGAGCTTCAATAGGAGGTCTTCCGGGGCTATGAAGGTATGGATTCATGACTTGGCGAAGACTACTGACGGGGCTAGCCTCAGGTTGCCAATCTGGAATGTCCGGTCGCAATTTGTGTGGCTCGAGTTTCATGGGTGGCAACGGCATTGGTGGAACGGGAATGGGTTCGGCCTCAGATACCGACTTTTTACGCCTTCGGAAGAATGATGAAGGTTTTTTGGTGATTACATGCGGTTGTTCCTTTGGGGCTTGCGGATTTTCTCGAGACGGTGCTACGTTATTAGACTTCATCTGGTTAGCAATGTGAGTTTTGCTACCTGGATGATCCGCCGTTTCAGTAGAGGTAGTGGAACCGTGCGACGGTGGTGGGTCGGGTACCGCAACATTGTTGTTCCTGGAAGAGCCGAAAACCCTTCTGAAGAATCCAGGTCGTTCCTTGGGCGTTTGGGTGAAAGCTTGCGGCGACCCGAGAATATCTTTTGTTTTTGAGTATGACCCACAATTTGGCGGAGATTGCTCTTTGATGAATGCTGGCATGGGTGGCAATTCTTTACTGCGATCATTTAAATTGAGACCATAGTCATGCCTGGCAGTGTTCGTGAACCCCTTCGACTTATATGCGCTCTTCGAGGACTTTGCGCTCCTTTTTCTTTCTAACTTCTCCATTGGGGGATCGATGAGGCTAGGGTCGGGTCTTGAGACCAAAATTGGGGATGTAGGTCGAGGGCGTCGTGGACCACCAGGTACTGTGGGCGTGGGAGCAGCGTCGTAGTCGTATGTAGGGGTCGAAGGTACATTTGCATTAATATATCTTCCTGCATTTAATTGTGAAGTTGCTTGGTGACCGCTTCCGTAATCAAAGCTTGAAGACCTTCCTGCTAAGCCATGCGCCCACCTCTGGCTGCCTGTAACTTGTGCGTATCCAAGGTCGAAACTATTCGCACTACTCCCAACACTACTACCGGTATTCTTTCTCCCTCCTCGCTGCGGAATTGGAGGTCCTCTAAGTGATCCACCTGTATCGTTGCGTATACTATTGATTCTAGTCAACCCCGTTTGGAAGTTGGAACTGCTATTGCTTCTTCGGCTGCGAGAAATCTTGTCGGAATAATGACTTGAATCGTCTGCTGGATCGTAGTCGGAACTGAAGGAATAAGCGTGTCCTCTGCCACCTCTAGCTGCGAAGTTTTGAGGTGATTGATATGGTTCTTCATCACCAAAGGAGGAATATAATCGATCTTCGTCCAGTGTAGGATTGCGCAAGCTAAAATCTTCCTGCCCGAAAGAGAATTGGTCCAAGGAAAGTAGCATATGATCTACCAATGAGTCGCGGGTAACTTGTCGGGGGGAAAGGGAGAGGTCGTGAGAATCCCGGTTATTTCGCACATTCTCAGGATCATTTTCTTTGTTGGAAGGATCAACTGGTGTAATGTCATCTAAAAATGAATGCCCTGTTCCACTTCGCAGATTAAGCGCCCGATTCGATGAAGTAATATTTTCTGGACTGGAAGCCTGCGCCTCCAGTGTCTGGGGCGGAGATATGCTTCCTCTTCTTTTTGCCTTATAGCCAGTATCAACATTCAGGTCAACGCCGAGTCGCTTCGTCGGTGCATTCGGCATCTTCTCGACGGTATGCATGGCGGCCACAAGTGCAGCTGAGCCGTCATGAAGTATTATAAATTGGTTCGAATTTTGAAAGGATTATAAGATGATTCTTCGAATTGGTTCCTGGTTTGATCCACCTTCACTGCGACTGTAACCTGGATCAATACGTCAAGTTCGATTCTCAATTGCGTATCAATGCTCTGCCGATGCGAAACACTCAAACGATTCGTATTCTAGATTTCTCGAATATGCTTCCCGTCTATCTGCCGGTTGCGATAATTTACCTGCAAGTAATATATTTTAAATGGGAGCTAAGATATGTTTGAGGCAGCAAACGTCGGAAGAGGTTGATGCAGCAGAAACTCTTTTCGAAACACGCCGAAATGTTGGGGAAAGTTTGTTTGCGTGCTACCAGGACAAATTACTTTCTCGGGATTGAATCGGTAGGGACTGACTAGAGATTGGCATATGCTGGTGAGGATTGAGTGAGGTGTGGTGAGGTTCAATTGAGGGAAGATGATTTCCTATCCGTTTGTTTGTGCGTCTGTTTGTTTGTCGTCGGACAAGTAAATATTGAATTGGCAGATTGTAAAGTAGGTAAGGTACTGTACTGTACACAAGGGCGGGATTCGTTTGTAACAGCGGAGAAGCAGAGACAGAAGCAGCAGCAGCAGCAGCAGATGCAAGATAATGTTGATACTCCAAGACTCCAAGCAACTATTGAGTAATAACGGGTCGTGCAGTAGTGAATTTCGTGATATGGGGCATATACTTTATTGGGTTTTTGTCACTGACTGCTTTTGATATCCATATCTATTTAGGTCGCGGTACCTGGTAAACAAATGATTAGATACCCCTATGGAGAAATATATACCCAGGTCGCTCAATAATTTCTAGGATCTCCGACTCCGATGGAATGGCGACCACTGGGATTGAAGATTTTAAGTCTTAAAAGAGCCTCTGGAAATGTTTTCTTCAAGGGTTGCAACGGGTAAAGAGAAGAGTGGTATGTGTATGTCCCAAAAGAAAATATACTTTTCCCGTGAATGAATGAAGGGGAGGGAAGGGAAGGGGGTAGAGAATCGGATGAGTGATGAGTGATGACTGAAGACTGAAAATTGAGAGTGACGACTGAAAATTGAGAGTAAAGACTGAAAACTAAGAGTGAAGACTGATTCGATTATTGTTCTCTTCAAAAATTTCATTCAAATTCAAAAAAGAGAAATTTGATTGGATTTTGATTAAGGATATGATTTACATTGACCAGTTTATGAGTTTACACACTCATTTCCGTTTTCATTCATGGTTCATGGGCGAAAATGCACAGTGCAGTTGAACAGTGCAGAGGGCAGTCACAATTGCAGTCAAGAAGTCTGCTGTGTATCAATTTGGGCCCGTGCTGGTTGGCCATATGGATCGATGATCTTCATGACAAGAGAAACAAGAGAAACCAAATCCACCCGACCCAAACTCCTTCCAGTCCCGACATCCACAAAAAGGAAAGAAGAATGAAAAAAAAAGAAAGCGATCAATCGGGAAGAGCAATCATGATACAGAACATCCACGAATTGATCAAAGTTTCCATCCATGGTCAAAGTCAAAGTCAAATCTCGTCGATATGTACGTACTTGGTATCTACGGAGTATCTCTATGAAAGGTCTATGCTTGCAAATTACAAACTCACCAACCAACCAACAAACAATGGCAGCTGCATCTCCTGGGGAACCCATGAACCTCTCTCCATTTTTAATTTAATCGAATGATTCCATTCCGAACCACCAACCGTGGATAAAAGTTTAAAAAAGGAGACACACGGCGCGACTGGCTCTGTCCGTACCACCAAGCTGCTGCAGCAAACTGCATGAAGGGAGGGGGAATTGGGGGCCGGCAAAAGAGAGGATCTAACCAGGGATTGAGATTGGAAAGAGAAGGGTGCGAAGGAAAGATGCCATCGTGACACTAACAGCCTCTTCGAAGTTTCAGGGGGAGGGGGAACGGAAATGTACGTGCAACCATGGCCCTTTCGTACGCTTCTAAATCTGTCAGAAAAAAGATCCTTGGATCCCTTGCCCTCAAGATATACCTGCGGCTACCCGTCAAATATACATACACGGAAACACAGTGTAACGACCCAGGTAATTTGGTACAATGGGACTTTTATACCGGAAAAGAGCGGTGTACCACGAGTCTGATATACCTAGATCACGTCTTCGTGGATGCCTTTGATATACATAATCTACTTTTGCAGAGAAAGGAAATTGCATTTGAGATCCGTTGGACGAATCTTCCAATAGAGTAATGTTTCATCTGCTCATACCGGTATCAAGCCCGCCCGTTCAAACATGGAAAGACAAACATCCAAAATCTTATGGCGATCAAAGCTTCGAATCATCTTGATATCCAGATGTCCCGCATTAAGCCTCTGCAGACGACCGGTGGGTTGATAGGCTCATAGGATAACACGCACCCCTATTTCCCTGTATCAAGGCGGGATAGATGCCAATGATATGTGATTTGTTCATGCACAATGGTCGTGGGATGCTATCACGTGAATGTATAAATTCCTCATCGGCCGAAGCGGAATATCATTGGGCTAACCAAATGACAAGTAAGGACAAGCGACGTTTCGCCGGTATGATTCAAGCATTGAGTTCTCTAACAGATCTACACTGTCGACGCAGTATGGTATGGTCGAATGTTATCGCTTTGTTCTCAACTCTTCAGCTACATTGCTCACTAACGACTTTTACTTTTTGTTATTTTTAGACTTGAGCTGCGATTGGGGGGCTGAGACTTAAGTACCTACGTAAAAGAAGATATCAAAGGATCAAGAGAAGGATGAGAGAAGCTTCGGAAACATCCCCGACTATCTTCTTGAGGATGCTTATTCCTTGGATAATCTCACATAAACTTTGATGGGCTCACCTGCTGGCTCAACACATCAGATACCTATTCACGATGAGGATACTTCGGATATGTGACTAACGGGGAGGTAAGATTTCAACTCAAGCTTATCACGACATGCTATGGTTATTTTCTAATATTTACAGTTTTTGCGTTGTGCGGTTCTTCTGTACTATATTGCATTTTCCTGATAATGCCGGCATTGATGATCCTGTAACACGGAAACCGATATCACCTATTATAGTTCACGAAGATCTCCAAACGCTGCGGCAGGCTGCATGGATGACTCGATCTATCATCGTCGGCAGCTGCAGATCTCCAATAAACTTCTATTACCATACGTATCAAAGAATTGGGACAAAGATATATACGAAGGTTTTACGAATGATAATCTCTTCGTCCAGGACAAATGCTGATCCGTTCGCATACTCCAAGCCGGTGTATACGAAATATTCGCATCACTTACCATGAATAGCCTTCTCGCTCACGACCACTAACCATCTTCTTTTAATGGAACAATTCACCACACCAAACAACATCAAAGCTTTCTCCCCAAAATATCTCAACTCCCTGAGTATGTTCCATTGGCGTCATCGTGCGTTGGGCTTAGTCTTATACCGCCTTGACAATAACATCAAAGTTATCATCGTCGATCACCAAACCATGTCCAAAAATTCATCCTAGCACGGAACCCCACGAATTTGACGGGCAGAAAATACGAACTGTCCATTGTCCACTTCGTCTAAGCTTGCCATGAAACTAGAACTAGACGTCACTTCGGCTTCACATGCTGTAGATGATTTCAATTTTCACATGATGCTTGCTAGGACAAGATATGTATCCGACCGCAAATGTGAAAGTCGATCCTAAATAAGGTCTTCCTTCCTTGTCGGTGCAGTGTGGAAAAGTCGGCTGCAATGGAACTTTTGGAAGTCAGTTCATCTTTTGCAGAAGTAGCTATGCTCGACTGCTTGAAGCCAAGCATCATAAAGTTGAAAATCATACTCAATCTTTTATTGTTGCCACGACATATATATAAAGCGTTCAGCATCTCAATCACTATTTCAAACAGAAGAAGCAACCATACAAGTGTACTGTCTGTAAAAACTACTCTGATGTATAGATCTTCACATCAGCATGTCATATGTCTTATACTTCCTTTTCTCTTGATGGATTCTTATCCTTTCAGCAAATGGGTCGCCCATCACAGTCTCTGTAACCCACCGAATCAGATGGTTGGGTCCTTAATATCTCTGTGATGTTTCCTGAGTCAGTTTATAGCTGCTTGGGCGGGGTTGCAGATCGCCTTACAAAGATATACGTCGCCTGCGACCTACGCTGGTTGATCATAACTTACTTTGGCAGGCTCATCGTAGACCAAAGTCACCGCTTCGTCATAGGCGACGTTCGCTGTCTCATTGTCGGAAAGTTTTCCAGGCTCGGCATATGAGACTTTGGCGGCTTCATCGTACGCAACCTTGAAGGCTTCGTCATATGAAATCTTGGCAGGCTCTGCATCCTAAGTGGTCTGCGAGTATCTTTCAAAGACACGCATCGCACCTACAGCTTTCATCTCTGGTTTACATATGGTCAAGTGATAAATATGGTCAAGTGACAATTACACATTGCGAATAGCTGTATTTTCTCTCGCGGGACTTTGCTACTAATGGCATCTACGATATGGCAAGACCATATGTTTTAGAAGACCTAAGTTTCAATAGCTCATGCAACATTATCTAGTCAAAATCTCGTCAGGATGGCAGCTTGTTGAGACCATTGCCACCTGAATAGCGAGATAGTAATTGTACATTGAATACCTCTTTTTCTCATCTTCCCATTCCTCCAATAACCCTCCTACCTTTCAATTTTTTTCTCTCCCTCGTCCCATCCCCCTATTATCGCAAATAATTAAATTCCAACTAACCCCCGTCCTCCCATCTTCGTCATAGATTACCGTAGAGAATGCTACGCATTAATTCCTTGTGCCAAATCGATGGCGGAAGTATCATTATCTCCTTTCGCTGGAATCAAGGAGATCAACAGTCAGCAGTGGATCTTGACATAGCGCTTGAATATCGAAAGTCGAGTATGTTTATTGAGTGCGTAAAGGAGAGATGAGCTGTACCGCAGGGCTATAAATGAACGGTTGAGGAGAAGTAGATAAAGAAGTAGAGATTATAATATAGACATATAATACCCGAGTCTCCTAAACATTGTTTGCTTGTGAATCCGAGGAGGGAGTCTGGGTTGGTAGGTGTATATGGGGTATTGAGAAGGGAGGAAGAAAGAAAGAAAGAAAGAAAGAAGAGAATTATAATGGAATGTATGGATTTGGATCATAGGCTTTAATAGGTAGGTACTTACTGCTATTTCCTACGATGTGAAAATCTAGATAGGTTGATAAAATTTATTGGTTTTTTTTCTTATTGCTTTTTTTTTTTTTTTTTTTTTTTTTTTTTGCTGGTGAATATTGTATAGATATGTATGAATGGATGAATGAATGAATATCTTTCTATGTAGGAGTTTTGATTAGAGGTAGGTAGGTAGGTAGGTAGGTAGGTAGGTAGGTAGGTAGGTAGGTAGGTAGATAGATAGAGATAGATGGATAGATGTCTTTCTCTTATTTTTTTAAGGTGAATAAAGAATGAAAAGTGGGTGCTTTTTGGAGTATGGAACGGGAAAAAGTGTATAGGGTAGGAGTGATTCTCTTGGGATGGTTTGTGATATGTAATAAAGTGTGGTTTGAGGGGTTTTCTGAGGAGAGGGTGTGAGGATGTGGATTTGTGTTGTGTTGTGTGTTTTTTTGATGATAATGATGATGATG